TTATTAACTAAGCGCTAAAATTATTTGTTTCGTACTTACCAAATGGTGACAACAAGTCTTTCTTCTGGAAGGATTGGTTGTTTATGCCAATTACACCAATTTTTCATCAAACGGTTTTCCACTAAATCCAAAATGTTTCTTTAGACATTCTTGCATATGCATAAAATCTTTGATCATCAAATTTCAATTTTTTAACAAATAAATGATGGTATTCTCCGAAACGTTTCCTTTCTCTATTTATAGGATGTATAGCTTTTTTTCGCATTTTTAAATACACATTTTCTAACAAAACCAAATCATCGTCAGATGAGTCCGACATTTTGCTTGTTCTGCTTTAATCGGTTTCCTTTATGTAGGAAGGATCGGCGCCGATCGGCTTTCGGCTTTCTTTCTGTATACGGCCTAAGCGCCGATAAGCACCGACCGGCTTTCTTTCTGTATACGGCCTAAAGCGTCAACGTTGTAACTGAGGTGCGGAGGGGTAGCCGGTAGCGGGCGGGCCAAAGCGATTGGGTTGATCATTGTACTATTGACAAAATAAACGCTGCGCAGAGGTCGCGCAGACGTTGCGCCGGCGCGACGTCTGCGTAGCGCAGTCCTGAAGTTCGTCACTTCGGCAAGCTCCAGCGCCCTATTCGAACCACGCCGCTGCCCAAGCGTTGCGTCGGCGTCGCGTCAGCGTCGCGTCAGCGTCGCGTGGGCGTCGACGTTCAAAGGACGCTAGTGTGGGGTCACGCTTAAATTGACATATTCGATTACGTTCATAGTCAGTCATTGACTTCCACTATTAACTACATAAGAAAATAGCGATCAGCGCTTCCCATGTTTTGGATTGGGAGCTTAAATAATAAAATATGTGTGTTCGTCTTGATGACACAACCTCTGATGGGTGTGAACTCAGTGTGGGTGTACCTCAGGGAGGCGTTCTCTCGCCACTCCTATTCTCCATTTTTATCAACTCAGTTATAAGAGTTATCTCCTCCAAGTTCCATCTCTACGCAGATGACTTGCAGCTTTATCGCCATTTCAATATTGACGAATCGGACTCCGCAATAGCAGCCATTAATGAGGACCTTAACCGTATCAGTACTTGGGCAAAATTTTATGGTCTCTCTGTTAATCCCTGTAAATCACAGGCGATCATCATAGGGAGTAGGTATATGTCTAATTATATCCGTTCCTTTCATTTGCCACCCGTTTCTATATGTGGAATCAATATTCCTTACAGCGACACGGTGAAAAATCTCGGAGTGATAATTGATTCCAATCTCTCATGGACAGCCCACGTCGCTGATGTAAGTCGCAAAATGTATTTTTCACTTCACACCTTAAAGTGTTTACAAAATTTTCTTCCTCTACATTCTAAAATTGCCCTTGCCCAATCTCTTATTCTACCCCTTCTCGACTATGCTGATGCTTGCTATTTAGACGCTACGGAGATTTTGCTTAACAAACTTGAGCGCCTGCAGAATCTTGCCATCCGATTCATCTTTGGTCTTCGTAAGTACGATCACGTCTCCAACTTTCGAAAGGAACTCAAGTGGCTTCCCATACGTCTGCGCAGGAATGTCAGAATCCTTTGTCTCCTTTTCAACATCCTTTACAATCCTTTATATCCTTCCTATCTTCGAGAGCGGTTTTCTTTCACCCACTCGCTTGATGTTCCTTGCCGGTCCCACCTAAAATCCCTTCTCAAATGTCCTACTCACAAAACTGACTTTGCATCCTACTCTTTTACAGTCCATGCCATCCGCTTATGGAACTCGTTGCCAGCAGAAATCAGAGACGCCCAGACCATTTCTAACTTTAAAAAACGATTGAAGGAACACTACCTTTCTACTTGAAAATCTAAAACTTTATTGCTTCTCCTAGTTTGCTTTTATTTATTTTATATTAATATTTATCAATTTATTAGTTAATATTTATTATTTATATATGTATTGTATGTTATTGTATGTATTGCATATGTATTATGTTATATTTATTCAGGAGCACACACTGACTGCCTTTTTTCTATGTTCTTTCCTTTCGCGGGCCTGCTGGAAGAAATTTCATTATGAAATAAGCAGTGCCCTTGTACATGTCTCTTGTTTCTCTTTTATGTAATATTTTATTGTGTGTGTACAAAATAAATAAATAAATCTATATTTTTTCATCAGAAGAATTGCAGGTTAACCAAAATATATTGTCAACAGTACATCGTAACATCCGGCAAATAATGGCCAGTTGCGTGAAAAACGATTAATTTACTCCAAACAGAAACATCGCGGGCGACATATTATTTCGCCTCGTGTAAGTCACCAGATTAAGTACTTGAAATTCAACTCCAAAATCTAATGGACAGTACATTTCTCTGTTGTGTTTTAGGGATAACAAAAGGGCATACTGTGACATGATTCTCTAGGGGAGGCGCTCTAGTTCATTATAACAAGTTTGAAAAGAGTCCATTTACAGATACTTCTTTTTACTTTGTTTCCTCTCAGGCGGGGGAGCGGGTGTGAAATCGCCATGGATACCCACCCTACAGCCGACTGCAAGGTTATGCCACACTCTTACTGACTTCTTCTCCACTCCTTATTTCTTCTCCCGGCCAGAGGCAGCCCCTACGTGTAGGGGCTGCCTCTGGCCGGGAAGGCCTTTAAGGCTTCATCGTATGCTATCGTCCCCTGAGAAGGGGACGCGGGGGCAGTGGGGGACGCGCAGGCGGCAGGGGGAGCGTGGGGCGAACGTGTCGTCGGAGCTGGGGCGGTCGCGGGGTCGGGGTGACGGCCACTGGGAGCAGGGGGAAGACGGGGCAAGAGTGCGGGCCGGTTGGGATATCATGGAGGAAGAGGAAGGAAAGCGCCGCAAATTGCTGCTTCTTCCTTCCCTCTACGGTGACGAATGGAGGGGGAGAGTTCGGACCCTCGTCCGCCGTAGACCAGGGTATCTGCTTGTGGTGTTTCTAAGCAGCGAGACTAAGGAGAAGGGAAAAAGAACGGGTTCTAAATAGGCGAATTTGGGAAATTTGCGGAAGAGTATTTCGCCAAATGGAACTGCTGCTTGGAACGGACGGAGGAGACGAGGCTGTGCATAGCCTTGACGGGGGATTCTGTCATAAGGGCGGGATAAGGGTGGTACGCGATCGGTATGAATTCGCTGCGCAACCATTATCGGCGTTGTGAAAACAACTCCTAGGTGGTCGCGAAGTGAAACAAGCGCAACGGACGGCAACCGTTAAAAAAGGCGGGACGTAAACGAAACTTAAATGAAAGCACTTACGTGGCTCGGTGCGAGCGGCAGACTGTACGAACGTGCGCACAGTCTGGCGATCGGACGCGGAAATAGGTCATTTACAGAGAAAAGATTAATGCATCCACGTACAACAATCACATACTACAAGTAGTTTGACATAAAATAAATAAATAACCCCTGTTCGAGTAAAAGACTTTTACCACTTTATATTAATTATTTATTCTGGCTAAACAGACATGGTACAATACAATACGCGACAATGGTTGGCAAAATAAGGAAACAGGCAGTGGCCTGATGGCCACAGAAGCATGTTCTAAAATTAATTTATGTTGCTAACACCTCACTTAAACGAGGTCGCATGATTATTTTGTCCGATGGTTGTAGTCCTAGGGCCTCCATTCCAACCACCACCAGCTCACCTGGCCAACCACACAATTGTATTGCGTAGAACTTTGGCAACTTTTCTTAACCATAAGTAATGTTAATCTAAAGAAAATTTTACTAGAATAAATTCCAATCGGACTAGGCAACAGACGGGACTCGAAACGCACCCTCCACAATCCGGGATGCAGCCTAAGTAATACTGGGGAAAATTCGACACGGCCATCAGGGCCGCGGTAGCATAAGCGGTCAGTGCATCCGCCCGCATTGCGGAGAGTGCGGGTTCGAGTCCCGTCTGCTGCCTGGCCCGCGTGAATTTTTTTCTAGTAATTTTCTTTAGATTTTAATATCTAGCAGTTAAAATGAAATATAATAAACATTAAGTTATTTCCATTTACTATAAATTACTTCTCCACAGTCCAGACGGGCTCTCATAATTGAGCGGAAAACTCTATGCCGAACCTTCCATATTGATCCATATATTATTATACATACCGTTTTAATGGAGCGGGGTCACTGAAAAAGTCATGCTCGATTAGGTATAGAGGTCGAGCAATTATATAATCTTACAATATTCTATAGATCGATCTTATAATCTTATCTTACAAGTTTATATGTATAATTGCTCCATGTAAGAAGAAATTCCTCAACCTCTATACAGACACCTAATCGAGCATTACTTTTTCAGTGACCCCGCTCCATTCCTATGTTGTTTTCCTAAGCTGGGGGGGACTAGAAATGAGAATATATTGGCAACTTTACCGGTAGATAACCTCGTTTCCCACGCATTATCTTCTCTTATGTAATGTAATTTTATTGTCTAGGGATTTATAATATTTATGTTTACTGTTACTTTCTAACTACATAGTTACGCTAACACTGCACAGAATATTAATACAATATAAGGTAAATATGTTAACAAAAATGAAAGGAAAAATAAATTACGGGCGATCTGAGGTCGGGAAAGGGGGGGGGGGGGGGTGAGTTTTTAAGGGTAAAAAATGGTTAATCTCGATTTCCGGTAAAACTGCAAGTCCTATGAAAAAAAGATAAATGGCAAAGTTGTAGATAATAAAAAGATCTACAACTTTTGTATCGACACTTTTTTCACATAACCTCAAAATTTATGTGAAAAATGCGAATAACCGAGTTTTTGGTTTTTGATTTTTATTTTTTCACGAAATTTGGTGAAAACTTACCTTTGTATGTTCCAAACATACAGTAATTTTTTTGATTTAAATATTCATTTTTTCACCTTATTTTGACTTAATATCGATAAAGCACCCTTATTTTCAATCGAAAATTCTCACGTCAAAATATCTGCTTTAAAAAAGTTTGGGTGTTTTTTGTTTGCTGAAATCTCTACTTTCTGATAGTCTAAGATCCGGCTGCAGAATCAGTGTACCCATCGAGTGTTTGCTGAAAACCAAATTTTTACACATATTTATGATTAGGAGAATTTATATCCACCAGGTTGCCTATCAAAATGTGGCCGCTAGTATTTTTAATTAAATTATTAATAATTCATAATCCGTAAGAAATTTCACTGACATGTTTTTTCAATGAAATGTCGTCTATTTTACGGCAATATCTATGAAGACTCTGAAAAATCATGGTTGCCGTTGCGCACCTGGCCGCACCTCTTCGCAGCCAGGTGTACACAGGTATGATTTTGTTACATTTATACACCCACAACGTACATTCATATTTTATAAATCAAATTAAAGCTAATTTTTTTCTGTTCATTATTATATACGGTTGCCTAATTAAATTTGGCCGCAAATAAGGGTTGCTGGCTGTTAAATAAAGAAAATATTAAAAGAAGAGTGAAAGAGAGCTAGCGCGTTACACTACTATTCAGACGAGGATAGCAATTGCCAGCTGCCGGACAGTTTAAAGCCATTGCGCATGCGTCAGATGCTAGTGTTCTCAACGGATCAGTTGCGACTTTTATTCTATGTTAAAAACCACGCTATTTTGGAGTACGTAATACACAACATAATATATTGCTGTTTCATTTGTGCATCGAAAAATTATCAATCTCATCGGGGTGAAATAAAATTTATGAAGATGAAGGCGTGTTTTCTGTGCGAAAAAAAAAACAATGTACTAGACTGTGATAATGCTTCATTCAAAAAGTGTTCTCTAATGTTATTGTTTCGTCGTAAGAAAAAATATAAATATCATGACATTTTATTAACACTTGAATCCACCGATGATTTTGAATATCATACAGAGTGTTTGAAAAAAATTACAGTTATATCCATTTACGGATATTATTGATGAATTAAATTACATTTTACGGTACGCCTCAAAATAATAAATACTCCAAGACGTTTCTTTTGGAGTATTTATTATATTGAGGCGTACCTACTATTGTTTGAATCGGAGGTTGAGAACACTAGCATCTGACGCATGCGCAATGGCTTTAAACTGTCCGACAGCTGGCAATCGCTATCCTCGCCTGAATAGTGGTGTAACGCGCTAGCTCTCTTTCACTCTACTTTTAATGTTTACTTTATTTAACAGCCAGCAACCCTTATTTGCGGCCAGATTTAATTAGGCAACCGTATATAATAATGAACAGAAAAAAATTAGCTTTAATTTGATTTATAAAATATGAATGTACGTTGTGGGTGTATAAATGTAACAAAATCATACCTGTGTACACCTGGCTGCGAAGAGGTGCGGCCAGGTGCGCAACGGCAACCATGATTTTTCAGAGTCTTCATAGATGTTACCGTAAAATAGACGACATTTCATTGAAAAAACATGTCAGTGAAATTTCTTACGGATTATGAATTATTAATAATTTAATTAAAAATACTAGCGGCCACATTTTGATAGGCAACCTGGTAGATATAAATTCTCCTAATCATAAATATGTGAAAAAATTTGGTTCTCAGCAAACACTCGATGGGTACACTGATTCTGCAGCCGGATCTCGTACTATGATGGTATAAAAAAAATATACACTACTATGGTAAATATTCTCAGAAACTGCAAATTAATAATGAACTGCAAACTGCAAAAATCAAAAACCAAAAACTCGGTTATTCGCATTTTTCACATAAATTTTGAGGTTATGTGAAAAAAGTGTCGATACAAAAGTTGTAGATCTTTTTATTACCTACAACTTTGCCATTTAACTTTTTTTCATAGGACTTGCAGTTTTACCGGAAATCGAGATTAACCATTTTTTACCCTTGAAACTCACCCCCTCCCCCTTCCCGACCTCAGATCGCCCGTAATTTATTTTTCCTTTCATTTTTCTTATATTCTCTACCTTTTCTAATGGGTTTCATCCTACTATAATTTTTTTTCACTTTTAAGTCAAAATAAGGTGAAAAAATGAATATTTTAAATCAAAAAAAATACTGTATGTTTGGGCCAATAAAGGTAAGTTTTCACCAAATTTCGTGAAAAAATATTTTTTTTTGCAAAAAATAAAAATCAAAAACCAAAAACTCGGTTATTCGCATTTTTCACATAAATTTTGAGGTTATGTGAAAAAAGTGTCGATACAAAAGTTGTAGATCTTTTTATTACCTACAACTTTGCCATTTAACTTTTTTTCATAGGACTTGCAGTTTTACCGGAAATCGAGATTAACCATTTTTTACCCTTGAAACTCACCCCCTCCCCCTTCCCGACCTCAGATCGCCCGTAATTTATTTTTCCTTTCATTTTTGTTATATTCTCTACCTTTTCTAATGGGTTTCATCCTACTATAATTTTTTTTCACTTTTAACCTTTTTAAAATTATCGACCCTGGTCTATTATGTGTTTAACAGTCTATATATGTATGTTTGTTCCTTTGTGGCACACTAGAGACCAAACGCCTGGACTCAATCAATCGACTCGTCTCAATTATGGAAGTACTATGTACTACTAAAGAGATGATAGTAATCAAAATTCAATATAGGCAAAACTAGGCGCCATATTGTGACGAAATAAAAAAAATAAGTTGACAAAATATGTCGAGTGGGGTATCACTGTCTAGATAATCAAAAAAACATATTTAGGTTTCTAACGCCATTTTTCATTTTATGTGATTGTTTAGGATCTACAACGCTTCAAAAGTTGTATATTAACCACTTACGCTTTTAATTTCAATCTAACGTTTATATGGATCTTTGTTACTCTTTCACCTAAAAAATACTGAATGGATTTTAATGAAACTTAACAGTAATATAGCTCATATATGATAATTACAAATATATAATAATTTATGTAGTTATTGAGTGAATTGGCCAATATATAACAATAAGTGTCACATAAGACGGGAAAAAATCTCCCATCTGCGAGCCATTTTGGCCTGCACTGCAAAAACAATAAAAGTTATATGAATGTAATGTACAGTGAAAATGTATCTCATAAATAATTCTAAAAAAAGTCCGTGACACCATATATCTGTTTTTAATGTGTGAGTCATTACCGCTAAAATAGTGAATCAAAACTAAAACATTATTTGATTTCTATTTCCAAAATGCACATTTTGATTAACAAATCATTTTTTATCAAAACAAATACTTTTAACGCTTTTGATATTTAAAGGCGATAAACTTTGCTTTTTACACTATGTCATTTCGACAAATATTTAAAAAGTTATAACGATGACAAAGTGATAGCGCGGTAAGAGAAAAAAAATGGGGTATTCGCAGTATCAGAATCTGATTCTATTCGAAGTACTAAAAATAAAACTGTGATACAGTTCCTTCTTATTAAATGATGAAAAATATATTATCATAATAGGTATTTTATTGAATTTTAATGAAAAACTCAGAATTGTACTGTTTTTCATTTTTTTTAACGATATTACTTAATGTTACAAAAAAGGTTTACTTAATATAATGACAAATAACCCATTTTTTTGCAATCCCTGTATTTATTAATCAGCTCGCGATAATATTGGTTTTGTAATAATTCTGCAAAATTCAAAGTAAATAATGTAGATTTTTATAGGTATATCACCCCTTTCATCACCCTACGCCTATAAGTATTGCGGTGTTGTAGCTAAGAACCAAGTTCCCATCTACTTCTATATGGGAATTCATTATATTCGATTAAGCTATTAGGGCACGGAAGCGCAACAAACAAACTCACTTTCGCATCTATAATAATATACTTACTAGTGATCCACCCGGGCATTGTACGGGTGAAATTTATTTATCGGGATAAAACATAGCCTATGTCACTCGGACAAAATGTATTTAAATAAAGAAAAATGTTATATTAAATAATGTAGCTACCTTATGATGAATTAATATTTGAAACCGGTTCAGTAGTTTGAAAGATTATTTGTTACAAACATACAAATCTTGCCTCTTTATAATATTAGTATAGATAGTTAGGATAAGATAAGTATTTAAGTGATGAAAAAGATTTAAAAATAAAGTAAGTAATAGGTTTATTTGATTATATTTGTAACAGTTACTTAGCATTTGTGCTTAACAGTGTACGTTATTCGGTATTTTTTTAAACAAAAAGAAATTTGGAAAATAATTGCCATGATTGCACTACTGGGAGTACTCTTCATTCGAGCTTTACACTACCAATAAAAAAGGGTCGAACACAAAGTCTTTGACCTGTTAAATGTGAACGCTTTAAAAGAAAACTACAAAGAGAACTATAAATTGATAATAAATGAGATTGCTATGGTGCTCTACCTAACGTTATGAAAATTTAATTATGCGCCTTTAGTTTAATCAAATATTATAAACTTTGCTTTGGTGATTGCATAATTATTTAATTTAGTGATCTAAGGCAGTTGCCACCATTGTCCAAAACAACAGACGGAAATTACTGCTTTCTTCAACCTGCGACATAAACGTCATTGATTGGTATTGTATATAGGGTGATTAAAAACATTTGAAGTTAACTTCTGGCATCTACATATTAGGTTTCTGTGAATTATGTATGTATATCAAATTATAAGACTAGGGACTGACACTGAATTTGTGTATATCACAATCATAGACGTCCGGCATTGACATGACAATGCAGCCACTGCCAATTTTAAATAGTCGACGAATAAAAGTAAATGAATTTTATATTTACTGCTAAACTATTAAAAAAACATAAACAAAAGATGACTTTTTGAGTAAGTGCTAGTTTACTATAAAAGGACAATGTTAAAATTGGCCTAAGAACCAACACCAATTTGGCATTTATGATAATTCTTAGTATATTTTTTGCGATAATTATCAGTACTTAGATTGTAACGGACACTTCCAGTTAAGTAAGCTAAATTAAAAAGTTAAAAAATAATCTGAGACAATAAATACCATTTTATGTGTATAATCTATGGCAGCGCTGCAAAGAAAACACACTTTCTTCCTAATGCCGACACTTCACTTGGATATTCGTATTTGCTATTTTAAAACATGACATCAGTCTGTCCTTTTCATTTCTTATTAAGCATGACAAGGACAAACTGTTGTCAAGTGAAGGGCCGGGATTAAACTCGTTACTCTGTGGTTGTGGTGCATGCAGTTTGCATTCATAGTAATCTGTGGCATTCGTGCATTCTAAAGAGTAGTTAAATATACCGGAAAGCGCATTCTCGTTTCGGATTACCTGTTGTATGTGTTTATTTGCGATTGTTTTTCCTTTAATTTAACTATTTCGGCTATCTAATATGTCATCGATGTTACCAAAGAGCAGAGCCCTTCTTACCAAGTGCTAGTGAACCTGTGCCACAACATCCTGAGAGTATCATACTGCCAAATTATTCAAGAACACCTGATACACACATTCACGCCGCATATTTACACAATATACCTACATGTGATATACAAATAAATACAATAAACAACGATACAATTATGTGAAAAATAGTCAATAAATAAGAAGCAAAACTACAGTTTTTATTTTATTCATGATTCCTACCTAACCAAGTTTTTCCTAATAGTTATTCTTTAAAATCGCACCGAATAAAATGAATTAGTTGTAATATTAATTCACTTCATACTGAGTTCCTACTAAATTCATAGGTTGACCTATGTTTCATTGAATATTAAACATAACCTCAAAAAAAATTTAGTTTTCCTAATAATTTAAGTTCTCAGAAGTGTCCGTCAATAATCTTTGTTTTTACAGTCATTTACTTACGATTTTGAACCTAGAAAATAATATTTCATGATTGTTGGTTCTTAGGCTAACTATGTATGGACGCTGAACAATGTCCTTTACATACATTAGAGATATTTATGTAACGACTTGATTTAACTTCACACATTTTTGCGAAAATTTAGGCCCATCTGTAGCCTTGACCCCGCTGGAAAAGTCTTTATATGTCTTAATAAATCAATCTTTTAAACCGACACAAGGTATTATTCCCGCGATATCAATTCCCTTACTGAAGTAACAAGACTACGATATATACCGTCTTAAAATACTAACTAACTAAAAAGTGTGAA